ATTCAAAGTCTCGATAACAAAAATTAAATTAAAGTACAAACAAATCTGATAGAAGATCATAATGATCTTATCGCCGGAACCTTTTTTCAAAAACAACATGTATTACCATGTAATACCAGAAAGAAAAAAATTATAAATGTACACATTGTATCATGAAATATCATTACATATTGATAGCTACGTTATCAAAAATATTAAAAAATATTTTCAATTAAGAGAGTGAAGTTTTTTAATTTATTTTTGAACACTGGAAAAGTAATCGACAAATCAAAAGTTAGTAAAACAATCCTATTCCAGAGAGGTGGTGCACGATATGAGATACAAAATTTATTAAATCTTGTTTTACAAAGCAGTTTATTTACAAAATTGTTATTTCATGTGTATTTATTAATGGATTTCAAAATAAATAAATCTTTAAAAACTTAAGTGCATAAATCGTTTTTCCACAAATAAATGAAACAAAACATTAAAAACACTGGATTCGTATACATTGAGTATTCTCGTTTCCATAAAAAATATTCTATTATTTAAGAATCGATCTGCAAAACTGATTAAACGCATAGAGTGTTTATGACATCTCTTTTTATTCCAACTTAATCAATAAATATTTGTGCCATATTTGTGGGTAAAGAACGTTTTATCGAGATGGGATGAAAGAAAATACATTTTGTTTGTTTAGGGTTAATTTGTTACATTTGAACCAACTTGATACTTTTTACAGTTCATCATTCACAGTCGAAAAGTAATATTATTATAAGAGAGAAACAAATTGGTATCATCTGCAAAGATGATACTTAAAAGACTTTATAAAACGGCAAATAAATCAAAATTAAAAAAATATTGACGTAATGCAACTTTCAAGTAAAAGTAAAACTGTAAAACTTGACATAATTTTTTTACAAGTTGTTACAATCAGGGCCGGTGCAAAGGGGTTATGACACCCTAGGCAAAACTTCAAAGGTCGCACCCCTTTTACGTAAAAAAATCAAAATAAAATGCAAAATAAAGTGAAAACACCAGGTAAGTATTTATTTATTTAAAAATATCAAAACTGTACTTTGCGTGCCTTTTTCTGGGCAAAATCGATCACAAGGTCCTTCAGGTCCAGCTTGTCTGCAAGTTCGTGCTCAATGAAAAGAGTTGCCAACCCAACCAATCTGTCTTGGCACATGGATGATCGAATGTATGTCTTTATCAATTTTAGTTTGGAAAAACTACGCTCTCCATTAGCGACAGAAACAGGTAATGTCAGCAAAATACGAAGAGCAATACAAAGGTTGGGTAGACTGTCTTCCAAGTTTTGGCAAAGAATAAATCGAAAAACATCTTGAGGAGACTTTGTTTCTTCAGAAAGTCGTCGTGCAATAGACTGTAGTTCGCCACACAAATCTGATGCAACTAAATCTCTGTTATCACCATGTTGTAAAGCAGATTCTAGTTTCATGCAACATTCCAATATTTCTTGTGAAGTTTTACTCTGTAGACCATGAATATGATATAAGAAACCAAATACAGATTCAATTGTTCTCATTTGTTCAAACCTTTCTTCAACCGACCTTATTGCTGTGTCAAGTATAGCAAAAAAAAATTCACTTTGAAATTTTGTTTTGGATCTTGCACAGGCTCATCTTCAGCTTCATATGCAAATTGCTTTTTTTTCCGCCGTAATCGTGGTTCTGCCTCAAAGGTTGATGGTATCTCCAAATCCTTAGCAATTTCAGCAGCATCCACTAGCATTCTTGCAAAACCTATGTCACTCCTACAGTCAACCAAATAGGCTTGTGTGTGTTGTAACTGTTGTACAGCAGCATGAATATCCAAATCTTTAGCTTGGAGCTGCTTACTTGTTATATTGATTTCAAATGTTGTACCATATAACAATTGAAACCACGAACTTAAACTTTGCAACACTATTCGCAAGTGCTTTAGCATCACTGCGTGCAGTGCTTCCTGAGGATCCAGTTAGAGAAGTATCATCAGCTATTTCTAGCAGTGCATCATATAGTTTACCAAGTTCATATCGCAAAGGCTTTATAGCATCTATTCTGCTTTCCCATCTTGTTTCACTTAGAGGTTTAACAGTTAACGTAGGTTGATGACTAGTGAAAACTACCCACCGATGTGTTGAAGACGAAAAATATACATACACACGTTGGACAATATCAAAAAAACTTGTAGCCATTAGATAACAATTTGCAGCATCATTGACAACCAAATTAAGAGTATGCGCGCTGCAAGGAACAAACAATGCTCGAGGATTAATGTTTAATATTTTCTTTTGAACACCATTATTTTTGTCTATCATATTTGCGCCATTATCGTAGCCTTGGCCACGTAAATTATTAATAGGTAACTCCATTTCTTCTAGTTGTTGTATTATCGTTTCTGCCATATAGGCTCCAGTTGTTTTCTTTAAAGGTACAAAGCCTAAAAAATGTTCTTTGATACTAAACTCCTTTTTCAATGAATCAACTTTAACAAAACGAATAATTATTGTCATTTACTCAACATGGCTACAGTCAGGAGTACCATCGAGAACTATTGAAAAATATTTCATTGCATTGGCTGTTTGTATGATTTCTTTCTTAATAGCATTTCCTAACAGTTGAATAAGTTCATTTTGTATATCTTTGCCAAGATAGTGTGTATGAAGCTCTTTATTTGATATCTTTCGTAGATGTTCGTTCATTAATGGATCAAAAATGGCTAAGTATTGCACAAATTTTAAAAAATTCCCGTTATTGGCACTGTACAATGTTTCATTTGTACCGCGAAAAGCTAGATTCTGTTCACCCAAAACTCTCACTAATAGTATTAAACGCTTTAGTCTTTGCTGCCAATACTTTTCTTCATTCTTCATCTTGCTCAAAATTTCTGCATCTATTGTACTATCCCTCTGTAATCGCTGATGTAGTTCTTTCCACTTTTGATAGTTCTGCAAAGGTTCAGGACTTTTCTCGTGGGAAGAAAGAATTGCCGCCATGTTTTTCCAGTCACTTGAACCTGTATGAGTTAGTGATGATATGCCAATTGCTTTCATACTGAACAGTTTGCAACAGAAACAAAACACTGAGTCTTTTAATACTGAATACAAGAGCCAGCTGCGACATAATTCTTCTCCATTAGGAAGTTTTCTTAAGTAGTGAAATACTGAAAACTTTCGATTGTTCTTATCATTTGGGAAACTGATATCTTTTATTTGCTGAGGTCCACGTTCTACAATGATTGCACGTGTATTATGATTAATTAGTAGAGGCCAAAGTGCTGGATCCTGTGGAATAACATTATCCGTTTTTTCTTCACTTGCTTGCTGTACATGTTCCTCGAGAGAATTATTCAATTGGCCATTATCTGCATGGGAAACGGGAACTGTTGAGTAAGAAAGTGTTTCACTCATCATCACATTATCATTATCAACAACATTAGATATTTCTTCAGCTTCCATATCAGTGGGAATCTGTCCACCATTACTATCCTCTTTAGTAGAGTCTTGTCGGCATATAAACTTTAGCAATGAACCCTTCTGTTTTTCTTGTTCCCTCTGCTGTTCAACTTTTCGTTTACGATATTGAGCTCCTGAAGGCTTCTTTCTCTCAGCCATATCTGAAATGTAACAAGAAAATAATAAAATAAATGAATGTTGCGATGTTTAACTAATACATTAATAGGTCTTCTGTGATTGGCTTCAAGAATAAATTATATATAGCTAGCTATAGTTTCCAACAGGTCTGAACAGCTCTGTAAGGTTTTTAACAGGTTATCATTTAACTGTATTATACAAAAAACAACTTGGCAAAGTTATACGTCCTGCTAGTATTTTTTGTGTTTTTTTAAACGGAAAAGGAAGTTAGCTATATGAATGAGATTTCAATGTGTAATTAGCTGGTGCAGATCAAGACATATTGTAGAAGCGACTCAACAAAAAATTTAACCTGCTAGATGCATTGTGTTTAAATAATTCAAATTTTATTTTGTATAGCAAAGTTATACGTATGGTGAAGTATAATAGTAATATAATACGTAATATATAATAGCCCTAGATTTAAGCTAGTTATTATATATTCATATAAAAAATATTTTACTTTTCTTAATAAGTGTCTAAAACTTAATATAAATGTATAATAGTATATAGAATGTCACTATTCATCTATATGTATATTATATATATATATATATATATATATATATATATATATATATATATATATATATATATATATATATATATATATATATATATATATATATATATATATATATATATTGTCAGTATAAATTATATAAAGAATATAGTCGACTAACTATTGAAAGTTGTTATGAAAATCACTTTGATTGTAAAGACGCCGCCATATTTGTTATAATTTAGATTGCGTTCGGTAAAATGTACGTACATATTGCTCAATGAGCAAAAGCGTTGTTTTTTGTTAGCATATAAAAAAACTTATCAATTTTTAGACGCCCCTAAACTTTGGCGCCCTAGGCGATTGCCTAGTTCGCCTATAGGGTGCACCGGCCCTGTTTACAATTAATGTTTTTCGATTTCTTATTCTGCTTTCGAAAGCAGAATACGAAATCGAAATTGTCGAATACAAAATCAAAATATTTAAAAAAAAAATCAACCCCTCTTGCCTTCCCATTGCATAATTTTTCAAAAAAACATTAGTTCAACATTTCTCTGTTACATAATACGTTACTAACTGTCAACGTTACTAACTGTGCCCCAGTACTGGGGCACAGTGAATTAATGAACACAACTGTGAATTAATGATAATGAATAGAGGTATAGCCAAATAAATATGAGGCTGGTGGAATAAAGATATTATACACTATACTTTTGGCACACTTTTATTAACTAGATTAGTATAAAATCGAAAAAATAGATGTTTTGAAAATTAAGAAGAAAAAAAAAATTTATTGATAACAAAACTTATAAAAATATAAAAAAATTTAAAAATTGTTCAAATATTATCATTCATAACTTAAAACTAATAAATTCATTTTCATGTTTTTGTTTGTTATAAATGCATAAATATAATCTTTAAGATCATTGGGCATGGTGAATCAACCTATACACTGAACATAATTCACTGTGCCGCACAGTAATAAATCAACCTATTCATTGTGCCACACCAAAACAAATTAAGTTTAAGTCTAATTTCTTGGGATTGAGTGTTGTTAAAAGAAAAGCTAAACTGCTATAAGGAAGCATAAATATCAATAATCCGAATGAAAAACTTTTAAAATTATTTAAACCATGATCTCCATAAAAAACATAAGGAAGGTAAGAAAATTTACTTTATTTAGCTAAAAAGAAAAATTACCTACCAAAACCGGTAGACAAAGTTATATGTGGTAACAACTATAAATAAAGATGGCTAATATATGAGCACATAAAATGATAACATTATCAAGATGAGCAAAATTCTAATTTTTGAGAAAATGTCTCATACTCACTGTGCCTCTCGATCCACTGCACCCCAACTTCCCTTATATGTGTATATACTCGTTGTCTTATTCCCCCTTGTACGCAATTGTGTGTTTTTTGGTAAGCCTTTTCCTTCATATCTCCGTACTTACTTTATCGAAAACTCCTTATTCTGAAAGAATATTTAATTACGAATTTAAATTGCAAAGAAAAAAAATTGATTCCAAAATGACGGCCCTTGGCTAATAATTGAGAATTTCGACACTTGCGATTTTACTCTGCTCAAGTGATAGTTATGATTGTTATTCGACCAAAGATTGTATTTTTGTTAAAATGCTGATGTAAAAATATTAGAAAACACTTTTGGTAGCAAGTTATTCTTATATTTATAAATAAATACTTGAAGCAAATTAAGTTTTTATATATTTAAAACATTCATGTATTTCATTACAGGGGAAGGGTTTTCTAATCTCTTTAAATAGTTAACTGCTTTACGTGCGTGGTTTTGTAGGCTCTGTAATCTTAATAACTTAGTTTTGTGTGTGTTAGCCCAAAAAATATTAGCGTAGGAGAGATGACAATGAACAAGACTGAAGTAAAGCTTTTGATTTTTCCACTGAATTGTGCAATCTCAACAACTCGAGATCCCCAAACACATAAGATCTTGTTTGCAGGAAGAAAACAAAGTGTCATAAATTTTTGCGCCTAGCTCTTTAATTGAATTTATTCCCTCTGAAGACCAAAGATTGCTAATTGCATTTTTGAAATGAAACCTAAAATATAAGGATTTATAATGTAATTTTGCAATGAATATAAACAAAAGTTTTGATTTGGTTGTGACATCATCATGAGATCATAATGAGATCATTATTTGAAAACAAAGAGAAACTTTAATAACAGGTCTATAAAAAGAAATCAATTTTCAAACTTTGGTAACTGGGATCAATTTTTGATATCTTAAGTTTGATATCTTAAATGGAGGATAGATCTCGCAGAAACAATTTAAGGGTTGACGGATTAAAAGAAAGCGAAGGTGAAACGTGGATTAACAGTGAATTAAAAGTCAGTAAAGTTTTTGAAGAGCATTTAGGATTTACAAATATTCGGATTGAAAGAGCTCATAGAACTGGCCAGAGAGATATGAGCAAACCAAGAACAATTGTAGTAAAACTGTTAGATTACAAAGATAAGTTGGTTATTCGGGATTGGGCTGCAAACAAAAGTAAAAATTTTTCTTTGTAACATATTTATATATTTGACAATTTTATTTTACATTTTTTATATATTACTTTGTTTAATTATTATAATTTTTCTCTTAAAAATGGAGGCCAATTTTTCACTTAATTTAAATGATGAGAATGCTAGTGATGATAACTATTTTAATGGAAAAAATTTAGAAAGCGAGTATTATTTAATTTCTGAATCTACTCAATATCTGTCAAAACAAAAATACATTTTCTATTTTAAATGTAAACATTTGAAGTATTAGAAAATCTCAAACTTTTACTGCATCAACTAAACCACGAATTTAAAATAATTTGTATCATAGAAACTTGGCTTAAAACCAACGAAAAAAATTCAAACTTTGAGTTAGGTAATTATGTATCAGTTCAACAACCACGTTTTAACTATGCTGGTGGTGGTATAAGTATTTTTGTCCACAAATCAATTAGCTTTATTCTACGTTCTGACCTCAATATTAATGAAACTGATTGTGAGTCATTGTGCATAGAAATTATAAACAAAACCACCAAAAATATTGTAATTAATTCTATTTATAGACAACCAGCTGGTAATTTAAGTAAATTTAAAACTTATTTAATCAGTTTTTTAACCAAAACTAGCTTAACACGGAAACATGTTTACTTAGCTGGTGATTTTAACTTAAATTTACTAAATTATGCTTCAAATACAAATGTTCAACATTTTCTAGATACTCTTATAGAATATAACCTAATACCAACAATAAATAAGTCAACGAGAATAACTAAGACCTCATCGTCACTACTTGATAATATAATTACTAACAATTTTCAAAACTGCCGTTTAGGAACAGGCATAATTAAAACTGATTT